TCCGCCGCTCCAGCGGGCGGGGAGGCAGCGCCCGCTCCGTCCCCTGCCAGGCCGGCGCGCCGAAAGGGCATCGAAGCATCTCTCCGGAGCGGTGCCGGCCCCTGCTCAGACGCTCACAGGGCCGGGATCCCCACTCGGGGCTCTGCGACAGGAGACGGAAAAGGGGCTGCCCATGCAGCGGCCAGGACAGCAGCGTGGAAAGGATGGCACACAGGGGTATGGGGACACTAGGGACAGCGCTCCAGGGCACCCGGACAGGTACAGCACGTGCTGGAGGGGCATGTCCTGCTAGTCCCTTCCTTGCATTAACCACAGCAGAAACTAGGACCAAGTGCTCCACGAGGCCCTGCCTTTACACCAGGACAGCAGCAGAGATGTAGGTTAAGCCTGTCCAGCAGCTGCAGAAGCTTGTGAAGGGAACATTTTCCCCCCAGGAGCATCAAACCCATGGAATAGCACATAGCTTTGAAGGTCTCACAAAGCATTTCCTTCCCACAGCACTTGTTGCACTTGTCACATGCTCATCCTCGGTAAGGCTTATGACATCCTTTGCATCTGCTGCTGAAACATCAGTGTCACACCACCTCCTACAACCTCGCATTTGAGGTGGAAGGCTGTGGCAGATAGCATTGGCTACAGAGCAACCGACAGCCCTGTGTGCAGGGCAATTCATCCCAACTTTATCATAGAGGTGCATTCTAGGGCTAGAAACATGCATTACAGCAAACAAGACCCCCCACAGGCCCTACCTATTACCAAGTTTCTTTTCCCTGCACACCTGGTCACAGAGGAGGAAGAGATCTAAGGGGACACAGAAATGACTTCTAACCAGGTATATGCAGAGTTTTTCAGTTACACCTGTTGTTTCTTACACCCATAGGCTGCTGCTACTTACATGGCATTGCCCGCTGCCATACGGCTGCTTTGGTAGCACTATTTGAGAAGAGCTAACCAGATACTCTAGTGGGAAGGGACTTGAGCAGCCTCAGTTTGTTTTGGTATAAGCATATATTCTTCCAGTGTTTTATCCACATTTCTTGCAGTCACCTGCCAGACAGGGGCACAGGGCACCTTTCACTTCTGAAGGACTGTTACATGCACGAGCATATGACTAAGGAGACAAGAAGTCGTTGTAGAAAGATGGAAAGAGATGGTGCAATATTCCCTGTTGATACCAGTGATAGCCAGCACTGATACCCTCCCTTTTCCCACCTGCTCTTCTTTAACTACCAGATGCACTCAAATTACAAAGGCAGAAATCTTTATTCTCTGATACATGAAAATTCTCACACTTAAAATAACCCCAAAAGTGTTTTAAAAGTTTGAGACTTCCAAATGTTAAGTTCCTGATAAACAGGAGGGCAAATGACAAGTCACAAGCAAAATGATGTTCAAATCCCCCGGCAGAAAACACTCCCTTCCCACCTCCCTTTGGCCTCCAACGTTTAATCCCTTGTAGTAGCCTAGTCTCCTGGGCCACTCCACAGTGTAGGCTAGAATCCAGGCACCTGAGTGATTGTGCAAGCCAGAGGGAAGTCCTGAAAAATGCTCACTGAACAAGTTGCAGCTCACGTACATGGGGGTGGCTCATCAAGTCTCATCCAAGCCTCAATTAGGTGACATTGCCTTGCACACAAACGTAGCTTACTGTAACAACAGGCCTCTTATCACAGTCACCCTTTAGGGAGGGAATGGAAACATTGAAATCAGGCCCTGCATAGCCTCTCTGTGGCTGGCAGTTTGATAAGCTGGGCTGAGCAGCTCCCACAGCCCCCTACCCCATTTCCCAAACGTGCACTACTGCTGTCCAATTCATGCTGGCTACAGGCTCAGCAGGCTGCTCCACAAACTAAAACTAACTTAATCAATCTAAGCAGGGAAAAAAGTAGTTGGAAGGAATAATTTTCTACCAGATATCAGTTGCACCAGAGGTAAGGAGGCAACCACACAACTGCACAGAAAGCAAGCCCTCCTCCCAACAGCAGTAAGCCAGTACACTGTCTCAGTTGCTCATGAAATAAATCCATTTAGGCTGCAAGTTACTGAACTTGTTTGAGGCTCCCCATACTGAACATGTTTCAAGTGTTAGCTACAATTGCCTTACAGCACCAGACTTTATTTGCCTTAGTACTATGGGGAAACTGGCATTTTACTTCTTGAGGGGGATTTAACAGATGAAGAACAGCTCAAAGAGCATGGGATCCAACCCAGAAAAGAAATTTAAGGCATTAATGATACATTCACCTTGACTCCTAACAAGCTGCACAGTATATTTTGCTGGGAGTAAGCATAAGCTGCCACATTTTATGTTCAGAGAGAACAAGGAGTAATGCCACACTGCAGTCAGAGCCTCTGGAACAAAAACACAGCACAAAGCAGAGCTGGATAGAAAAGAGGGCTTTATCTCCTGTGCTTCCTCATAAAATAACCACCAATCCAAATGTCACACAACTTCCATGCAGTCAAGTTTCTGCACATCTCCACTAGCAAGCTATATTCCCAATACAAGTGTTAAAGTGCCACAACAGCACTGGAGACCTTGGTCTTTCTGACAACAGCCCCCAACTTGCAGCTGTAACCACCTTGACTACCAGGGTGTATTTAGACTCTTGCTTCTCCAAGAGCTCTGGTTAGTGGCCTCAACAGGAGTGGAAGAGGAAGGCAGGGATTTACTGCAAGGTGAAACTATAAGACAAAGAAACAGGAGAAAGGAACCCTGTCACAACGCAACTCTCAATTTGAAATGTCAGGTGGGGGTGGGGATTACAGCCTAGAGGGTTCAAATCTGTAGTTGCTCTTACAGTAACTAGCCAAAGGCAAGTTACAGTACTTGCCATTTCACAAGTATCCAAGTTAAATTGGCTGAAAAAAGAAGTGGGACGTTAAGATGTAGAAGAAAAAGAAATCATTCTTCTATTAGATTGGCAGGGATCTGAAACTGGAAGAAAAAAAAAAATCACTGCCAGCCTTTTAAAATAGTCTTGGAAGTCACCCTAGTGGTGCTAATAGCACCAACTCAAGGGTGATTTCAAATTACAGGCCTAAACCAGAATTAGAAATAAAAGGGGGAAACATCCAACCATTCTCCCACATCCCCATGGTGGAGCTGCCGGCCCCACAATGGGAGGTAGCATTCCAGGCAGGCTTGACATCCATAATGTCCACATGCCCATCCAAGCCACTCTGGTGAGCAGATGGGTTTATAAATCCTGAAAGAAACATTCTCAGTCACTTTCAAACTTGACAGAATTGACTTGGGTGGATATAGTGCCCCCACGGTAGCTGCCTCGCTTTTTCTTTGTCTTCTCACGGCGGAAAGATTTGCCTTTAGTGAACTTCAGGATATTGTTAGCCTTCTCACCCCAGTCCCCAGCTGCTCCTTTCTGTGAGGGATGAAAGGGGAAGAGGAAAAAGAAATTCAGGTCAGTACTCAAGAGAGTAAAGGCAATACTTTGCACTTCATCCTACCCAGCAAACACCCTGCGGTGGAGCCGACAGCACTCTCCCATGCACTGCCTGCCAGCGCTCACACGCTTCCCAACAGCACCTCCTGGTGGGAAAAGCTCCCCCCAGAAAGGCTGCCTACAACCACATCAAGGCTGCTCTGTGGACACGAATTTGCAGAGGCCCAATGTTACCCTTCTGGGCACTACCTTGCCCTACCTTTGCTTCAAATGAGTTGTCAGCAACACGGGCATCCAGCTCGATCTCTTCTTCCCTTACACGTCGGAATGGAGAGGCTGGCTATTGAAGAGAAAGAAAACAAGATACAGTAAACTCAGGCACAGACAGGATATTCCCTGATTGACAACCTCCTTCCCTCCCTTCACTGCAAATATGGAGAGCCTCATGCCACCTCAATCTTTAGGTGTTTCTCAGGTTCATAATTCTTTTCATTCGTTGGATCAGGCAGCTCAGGGATGCTCCTAAACAAGCATATCCAACCAGCCTTTGGCATAACACTAATATTATGCACATATGTGCCCTCCCCTGGGGTCCCTCCAGACAAGGTTCAAGTGCTTGAGTAAGGAGCAAAATCACAAATAACCCAGTGGGCCTAATCTCTCCCAAAACCCCAAACAAGCCTACTTTTTCAGGAGACAGGGGTACATCTCCTGCCAGTCACCGCAGTCCACCCTCACTCACCTGTTTCACCTTTGGAAATGTGTGTGGGGTTTTAGCTTTGATCTTTGCCTTTTTACTGTGTGGTGTCGCTGGCTCCTGAACATCTTCCCTCTTGTGTTTCTTCTTGGTCGTGCCTGTTAAATGCACAGAAGTAAAATTTCAAAGGGAGTAACTGCAGTGCTGGGAAAGGTAAAGGCATTTCTCCTCCAGCATGCAAACCAAGTGTTAACACAAATGTGAGAATCAGTCCCTGCATTACCTCACCCAGAAAACAGACTGCTGTAACTGACACTAACAGCCATCCTGGGTCATCAAGGATTTGCCATTCTATCCTAATAGGTAATTCTGTGGAACAACATAAACTGTGTACTGTGTATTAATGAGTTAGAGCCCTTGAGAAAAAATCTGCTAATTAAAACTTGCCAGTTCCTGGAGTCACACAGCGTGCACTTGCAAGCACCACTACTGCATTTTAAGGTTTTTTTTTCCTTCTTGAAGGGATGAAGACTCAGATTGTGCCTTGGGGCACCACTGAGTGTCCCACCCAACACAGTCCTCCAGCAGTGTGCCTTGCTGTCACTAACAACCTTGTGTGTGCACAGATGGTGACAACTGTACAGAAACATACTTCATGCTACCACAAATTCCATGGCCAGTGGATATGCCACACAGAAAAAATGATCACACCAAATTCAAAACTATCCTCTCAGTACTGCACCAGATGGCTAAATCTAACCATACATGGAGATCAGACTGCTCAGGAAAGGCTCCTGTTCATGCTTAGCTCAGTAACACTGTCTGACAGACCCCCTTCCCAGACTGTAGGCAGTACCTCCATTGACTTTTCCAGTCTCTTCTTCAGAGCTGCTTTCACTGCTGCTACTGCTGCCATCAGCTGGCTTAGACTTCAGGTTGTTTGCTGCTGGCGTGGCTGCTTTTGCTTTCTCTGTAGATGCAGCGGCCTTAGAACTGTTCTGTACCACCTTCCCCGTCTTTTTGGGCTTCTCATCCTCTTCACTGGAACTATCAGAGGAGCTGCTACTACTAGAAGCAGCTGCTTTCTTCCCCACAGCTGCTTTTGCTGCCCCTGTAGATTTGGTGGTTGGTTTCGCTGCTGGCTTCTTTTCCTCTTCACTGCTTGAGCTATCAGAGTCAGAAGTGCCCGATTTGGGAGCTGGGGTAGGTTTGGCCACTTTGCCAGCTAATTTAGCTGGAGTGCCTTTCTTCTTTTTCTTCTCATCCTCAGAGCTGCTGGAGCTGCTATCTGAATCAGAGCTACTTTGTGCTTTCTTTGTGGCAGCTTGTGGCTTCTTCCCAGCAAGGGTTGGTGCTTTAGTTGTGGGCTTCACAGGAGCCTTCTTGTCAGAGTCATCAGATTCTAGCATGGAAAGGAAAAGAATAATCAAGGCTAAGCCCCCTTCCTTCTATACACAGCACCCTTCACTAGCAGCTTGAAGCACCACCACCAAAGTTATTCCTGCCCAGGCACACCCTTGTACCCTGCCTAGAAACACAGGGGTCTGAGCAAGCACAGCGTGCATGTGGAAATTCTCCTTTTCTCCTACCCCAATACCTGAGCTGTCTGAAGAGGAACTGGAGTCTTTCTTCCCTTGTGCAGGCTTGACAGGTACTTTTGCTGGTTTGGAAGTATTCTTTATCACAGGTGGTTTAGCTGGGAGCTTACTCCCTGCCTTCTTCTTGTCCTCTTCAGAGCTAGAATCTACACAACAAGAAAAAAATATGTTCTTTAAGTAAATAAGCTGCTGGTGCAAGTTACTTCAGTAATAACATGTATGTAACTCATGGGAAAATGAGAAGCAAAATGGGTTGAGGCCCCAGGCTGAGCCACGAGATAACTGGAAATAAGTAGCATTTAATAAACACCCAAATGGCTCCCAAACAGCATTCATCTTTCCAGGTATCTTCTTTGGTGGAAGGATGTGGAAACAGTTTAAGTTCTTCACTAATGCATACACAAAGAAGTAGATATCTGAAGAATAACATAGAAGAGGTACAGAATAAGGGACTGGAGAAAATACAGGTATCACCAAGAACAAACTCAGGCAGAAGAAGCTTCAGGAAAAGAAGCTATGTGGTAAAGATCAAATAACAGGCAAGAAACTAGGAGATAAAACTGACAAAGCAGGGAAAGTGAGGAAGCAACAGCCCAGCATCCCATTTTAGCTTTCTATTTCCTGTATCAGATCTGTTCAGCAGCAGTCTGAGGTGAGGATGGACTGGAGAACCCTGCATACAAATATGCCTTTGTATTGCATGTCACTGTAACCTGGAATGCTAAGCCTGATCTGTTCCCAACATTTCTGAACACTATACATCACTATATACAGAAACTTGGCCAATTAAAACACTAACACCAACAACACCCCCCCCTCCAACAAAAATTGTATTACCTGAGTCACTGTCAGAACTGGACTCAGCCTTCTTAGTAGTCACAGATTTGTTTTTGAGGCCAGGGACTGTTTTGGCTACTACTACTTTGCCTGCAAAAGCAAGTTTACAATTAACAGACCACATCCACATCAAACCTTTGTCCCAAGATCCAAACCTTGGATATTCCAGATGTGAAAAAGCTCTCTTCTCAGTGAACCAGCCATTCAGCCAGCACATCAAAAAGCAAGCAAGGACATAGCCAGCTGCAGCAATGGGCCTGGCTTGTCCCCACTAAACTAGATCCTGATGACTTTTCAAACCAGCATGTGCAAAGCAACCCAACCTGCACACAGTCTGCATCCACAGGTTGTACACGGTGTCGTTTGGGATAACTCTGAATTATGCAGAAGCTTCCAGAGAAGCAAACAGCAACACAGACCAAAGTCAAATGACCTTTTCAGGGAAACCAAGACCCAGCCAAAACACTTTCTGCACCATGTATTAATTAACCTGCAGCCTCTTCTCCTCTCAACATACCTGCTCCTCCTTTTGGGGGCACCTGCTCTGCCTCATCACTACTGTCTGAAGAGTCACTGCTCTCAGCCTTTTTTGGAGGAGCCTTGGCAAGGGCCTTCTTCACCTGTGCAGCTTGAGGAGGTGGTACAGCGCTGTACTGACCTGTGAAGGGAGACACAGCATCCAGATGCCCACATGGTAATGCAAGCAGCACAAGAAATGTTCACTGTACTTAGAAAAAAGCACTTCTGCATTTGGTTGCATTTATTCCTCTTCTGGAGCTACATCAAAGATGCTAGTTTATAACTGGAAAGGTTAAACCCTTCCCACTGCTACCTCCCTGTTTCTACCATGAGTTTAACTCTCCTCTTGGAGTTGTTAATCCAACCATCTCTGCAAGAGTTTTCCCTGCACTTTGAGAAGAATAGGAGCTTGTGCTGCCAAACATTTTCAGAAAAAAAGACAAACAGAGATGTCAATTGTTTATTAATTTACTGGCTTCTGAAATCTTCTGGCTAGAGAATCAGACCAGGTTTCAGTGCTTGATCCTCCACTACAGGTGTACTTCAACTGTATTGAACAGAGGCCCATGTAGCTCCTTGGCTACAGTTCAACTCAGCAGCCCTGGATACTTGTTAAAAAAAAACTAAAAATGTTTAAATTGCTGCAGTTACAGAATAACCAAACCACTGGCAAATGACTTCCAAAATCCTGGCAGACAGAAAACCTGCAAGAATGTGCTTAAAGGCTACCTGAACAGAAGACATGTAGCAAACCAAGCAGAGTCTGTCAGAGTCTCTCTCAGTCCCACACCCTTACTGAGGGAGTAACTGAGTTGTAAGCTCAGCCCCAACAGCACACATGAAACAAGCTGCTGCTTCACAACACCACCACCAGCACCACCTGGAACCTTATATGCATCAAGATTTGACTGTGCCCTGCATGTGCTTCTCCCAGGACAACAGAACTAGCAGAAAGCATCCTCTCACATAACAGCAATGGTATTTAGTACTTACCTGATTTTGGCTTCTGTTTTGCAGGTGGCTTTTCATCATCTGAGCTGTCAGATGAGTCCTCACTACTGGAGCTTTCCTTGGCATGTTTGTTTTGCCCAGGATGTGCTTGACTGGCTGCAGGTTTAGGCAGAGGTGATTTCTTGGGAACAGTCTTATTACAAGACAGAAAGAAACAGACATTAAAAAAGAAGTTACAGAAATCTTGTGGGGATAGATGGACCTTCTTTAACTCTATGTCTCACGTAGGAGAGCAAATTTTGAAGACAGTGGGAGAAAGATTAACAAAGATTCTCAAAGGCAAATTTTAGCAAACACATGAACATCACGACCTTTCTGGCCCCTCTGGTGTTGTTTTCTCTGCTGCATGAATCCCTAATGAGGAGCTCATCTCACTGAGGAGGACATCTGACTGAAAAGGTAGCAACTGCCACTCAATTAAACACAACTGTGGTTATCCATGTTGCACAAAATGTTTTTAAACACTTGCTGGTGGAAAGCTCAAAGCTGCAGAAAGCTAAACACAGCAGAGTCAAGCAAAAGCAAACATCTAATGGAGACTGCAAAATGGCTATGACATAATGGTATTTTCCTGTAAAAGGAAGGAGCAGAGGAAGAGGTTATGGAAGTATTGGGGAAGAAAGGCAGTGCATGGAGAGGTGCTGGAACACATAACCACTCTGTATAAAGGAGGGGGTACAGGAGCCACAAACGCTGTGCTCAGCTCCTGCATAGTCTATACCTTTGTCTATACATTTCACAGTTCCTGCAAGAGAGAGATACACCCATTCTTAAGAGAATTCTACAGTGTTCATGAAGTTTTTTATGGTCTAAATTACCTTCTTTGGTGGAGCCTTTGCCTTGTCTGACTCTTCACTACTGCTGCTACTGCTTGCTCCTTTTCCATTGACCACCTTGGTGGCCGCCTGGGCAGCTTTACTTCCTTTTGAGGTCAAGTTAAAAGAGACATGAAAAAATAAGCTATGATAAATGAAGTGTAATTACAATCAGCATAAAGGACCACAAAGATAAAAGAATCACAGGAAGCCAATTGGGCAGATTAAGGCAGTGCTGCAAAGGTGTTTTATCCTACTGCAAACTTTGACCAAAGGTTTCAGAAACGGTCCATTCTAGCTCATCAGAAGTTCCAGGACTAAAAGCTAAGTAGAGATCTTCCCTGCTCTTTGAGGAGAAGGCACCTGCAAAAGCACAACTTAAGCAGTTAAGGTAGCTGATTACAGCCACTTATGCAAACAATGTGGCATTTGAGACCAGGCTTTTTATGTGCCATCAGTTATACACCTCTTCCATGTGAGAGGCAGACTGGACTGGAGCACAAATAGCAGTGGCAGCATTTTCAGACTGCTATATCAATACATGTGCCTTTGCATGGAGGTACAGCCCCATCACTCCTCCCCTGGCCTTTCTGTGCCTGCACTTTGACTCCTGACACACAGGGAAAGGTACCTGGCTTCGGTGTTGCTGGTTTTGGAGGCTGTTTCTTTGGTGCTTCTTCATCTGAGCTGCTTGAGTCAGAGCTGGAACTCTCTGCTTTCTTCTGAGGCTGGATTTTGGTTCCAGCTGGCTTCACCACAGGTTTTGCACCTTTCTAAATAACAGGAGAAAAAACTCATTAGCCCTTGTAGCTGTGAACTTTTTCACAAAAAAAGAGGCTAAGTGGAACATGTGCAGAGAGTATAAACAGCTGTCTTCCACAGAGGATAACATTCTGACTTGGAAACACCCCTCTGCCCAACAGTTAGGGCCTGAAAATCTCTGGGCATCAATTCTGCTCTGGGAAACCTCCCAGCAGCCCATGGGAGTCTTGCTTTGCATCTCAGTCTCCCATTCTGCCTCCTCAAAATGAAGCAGCTCTGGGGCTGGCACTGTTCTCTTCCTTCTCCACATTACATTAATCTGAAGACTGAAAACACTGACTGGGCAACTCTTTGGTCTCCTCGAGCACACACTGATGTTATTCTTCCTTGCCTTTGCTTCTCAGTCAATACCATGATTTCAGCAAGAAAATATTCTGGTTTTACATATACAGATTTATGCAAAAAAAAAAAATCAGATTATTTTAGCAATTGTAAATAGATCTTTCTCTGCAAAAAAAAAAATCTAAGCCCTTGCAGGCTTAGGATAAAAGCAAGAAGCAGACTTGGATATGAAACAAAGTGGGTGCTAAACATGAAATTAATTTTTCATGGGACCAGTCCAAATGGCATGCCACCTACCACAGAAATGTCTTCTCATGTTGCACCTGCAGGAGTCCAGGCTCTTCACAGCTCAGGAAAAGTGAGCTGGACTCCAGAGGGAATTCTGCTGCTCAAATTTGCTATTATCCATCACTGTCAAACATGTATTAAAAGGGCTGGAAAAAAACTCTGACCTTTGCTGGCTTCTTCTCCTCCTCTGAGTCTGAATCATCACTGGAGTCCTCGCTGCTGCTCTCTGCTTTCTTGGCTGGAGGAACTGCTTTTGCCTTGGGCACAGCTGCTGCTTTAGCTGCAAATAAGGGGCCACACACATTGATGACAAGTTAATTCACAACTTTCAGATACCTAAATCCTGCACTAGAGTGTTTCAGGGCGACCAGAAGGAACCTGAAATAACATTAGCTTGGTCTGCACAACTTCCAGCTTACAAAAACCCACTGAACAAGTGTGAACTCACAAAGAGAATCATTGCAATGCTGTGCTAAGGTTCCAGACACTTTGCTGTCTGAGCCAAAGCTACTCCTTCCTGGTTACTGGTTGCTTTTTAATAATGTGGGTGAAAAGAAACCATTTTGCCTCAAGTTATACTTGCAATCACACCTATGAAAAATCAGATCTAATTCAGTTTTAGGATAGCTCAAGTTGAAGGCAAATTTTCTTTCTCTATTTCTTCCACTCTGTGTCTGCTTCTTCTCTCCCACAAATCTACTGCTAGATACACACAAACCTGCATATGCCTTGATTAAGGCAAGGCAAAAAGAAATCTGGATAAAAAGGGAAAAAAATACAGCTCACCACATACTGAAGTGCAGAGGTGGGACACATTATTTGACAGCACTAGGACACAGGCTTGAAAGGAAGAAAGGTGGCAACCTCATACAAGTAGCAGGTGAATAAGGATGCCTGGCACTTCTTGAGGATACCATGTACAACCCCCCTCCATATCAAGCAGGTCACAGTTCCCACCAATACAAAAGAGCCTTATAAATCCCAGCCATATTTGATCAAACCATGTGTGTTTTAACAAATGTAACAGCATTTGTAAAACCTGAATCAGTTTTCCAACAACAGCAAGATGAGGAACCATTCTTTAAAGCTCTTAGTGAGCTGAGAGTCCCTAGAAAATAGCACAGAAAAAAAAATCATAAGGTAGCTACCTCCTGTGAAGACAATATCAGCCCAATCTACATGCACTCAAACCCCTAGCTTCACTCAATAGTTAAATCAACATACAATTTGAATGTGGCAAAGCAAGCAGGAGTAACCCTGACAAGATATCCTGTCAGTGAGTGTTTGAAAAGCAGAATCTCAACATACACAAGGCAATGAAGGTGCTACTTCAATAGCATCTTCAAAACTCAACACAGCCCAATGCCTTCATCAGTCTCAGCCAAAAGAGACCAAATGAATGGCTAAAACCTTGTAGCAGACACAAATCCTGATGTGCTTATAACTGGATAAAGAGATTCACCTTAGCTAGGGTGAACATGCCTCACGTGTCATGGGCAAAAGACCTGTCAGAAACGTGAT